CAGGTGTTTATATATATATATATATATATATATATATATATATAATTCACCATATGGATAGAGAGATTCTCTCTGCTCCTCAACCTGATGCCTTACTCATTAACAAAGACCTTCAGGTCTTTTATAATCTTGGAACAACCACCCAAACACTATAAATGCATGAATGAGACAGAACATAATGTATTATGTCTTAAAAAATATTTTCATTTTTGTACATACAGAACATTAACATTTCAAAAAGTAATTTCGGCAAGGAGAGAATAATATACATAGCATTTAACAGACAATACATAACTTTCTACTGTTTAAAAAAAAGTATTATGTATTCTCAGGTATCTGAAAATATTATTTTTCTTTTTTTCTTTAACCTTTTAAGGTGACACACTTAATAATGCCCCTTTCTGGACACTGGTCATTTACAAAGCACACTAATTAAATACATTAGGAATTAAAACTTAAAATTAAATTGTATTGTCAAATTTGTCTCTGATTACCCAAAACTAATTCATAATGAACTTCACAAATGTACAATTCCCACACTGACCATAACATTTCAATGACAACATTTCATGTCAATTCATGTCAGCATGGAAAAAGAAAATATTTAATATATAAAGCTGAAGTGTGACTTTTTTAAAAGTTAAATACTTCAATGTACTGTAAACAATGACTAAAGCAATGGCATGAGTTTGTGGTTGAACTATATGCTGTTCGATCAATGTGTATAAAATATACAAAAGAAATGCATAGTACTATTTAAAAGGTGTTTAAGATCACATACATGAAATTAAGATATATCATATCGGTTTTGATAACACTTTATTTTGATAGTCCATTTGTACGACATTCAACTAACTCTAAATAAGTTTGCAACTCCATATCAACTAGCAGTCATTGATCAGAGTATTAGTAGACTGTATACCTAATATCCGCAAACACTTTATTTATTTCCCCAACACATTCTGCTGACTATAAAGACATTTTTGGAAGTACTTACTCTACTAACCCTAACCTAACAGTCTACTAATACTCTAATGTTAGTTGATATATAGTTGCAGATGCAGTTAGTAGAATGTTTAAAGTGGACTACTGAAATAAAATGTAACCATGGTTTTATTCTACATGGAGCGAGTCCCCTCATAGAGGCCACCATGTTGAGATCACATGACTAGCCAAATACTACTCCGTTTATGCCATTAACATTATTTGTACATTTTCAATTACAGAATAAATCACGACTGACTGTGAATAGCTGATGGCATGATTAACTAAAAAAAAAAAAAAAAAAAAATTTTTGCATGATGCTTTATCCATACCACTAGGTGTCTGTTTAACCCCCAAGACCACTGTCACTGTCATTTTTCCAACAAATAGATTGCACCTAGATTGCAAGGAGTGACATTCCTATCATTCAAAGATACCGTAGATGGTTCTGCATTAGTGATTAATGGTGATTTCAAATGAGAGCCTATAAACGGTCACACTTCAGTCTCTGGTAGTGTTACCAACAACATCTTTATGAAGTTCTTTATGGTCAGTAACTGTAGAATTGAATTTCTAACCACTGGTTGGCAAGTCTGATGGAATTTAGAAGTGTGTGGCTCTCACACAGGACTTTCTAAGGAATCAGGAACCCCAGCAGGTCCTATATGATGGCCTTGAGGCATCCCAAAGGTTGTTTGAATAGGCTGTGAGTAGTCATGGATGTGATGTTGACTAGAAGACATGGAGTTTGATCTAGCTGTTGGGTGGATAACATGGTGGACCTCTGGCATGGTATACTGGTCATACTCTGGAACTGCAGACATGTCAGTATTAAGAGGGAGAGCTGGAATTGGCAGGAAGTGCTCAGTGTCATCGCCACCAGTAAGGTAGCCCATGTCAAGAATTTCTGGAGCAGTGTGCATGAAGGAGGGCATCTGCACCAATTCATACTGGAGAAAACCTTGGATCCCAGGAGAATAGATATTCTGAAGGCAATCTGAGGTATCCCAGTAATAGCCTGTTTGAGTTTGAAAACCAGACAATTTGACACATTTATTATTAAGATCACAAAGAACTCAATATACTGTAGGTAAACATATAGTTTGGGTGGGGGGAACATAGTCACTATAATGTTTGTACACGACTGTTGAAAAGTTTCGGGTCAGTAAGATTTTTAAAATGTTTTATAAAAAATCTCTTAAGCTCACCAAAGCTACATTTAATTGACTAAAAATAAATAGATCAAATTGTAAAAGAGTAATATTGTGACATCATTCCAATTTAAAATTAATGTTTTCAAATTCCAAATATTTTAAAATGTAATTTATTTCTGTGATGCAAAGCTGATTTTTTTAGCATCATTACTCGTCTTCAGTGTCACATGAACCTTCAGAAATCATTCTAATTTGTTGATTTGCTGCTGAAGAAACATTTATTATTATTATCAATGTTGTAATCACCATTGTGTTGCTTCCTTTTTTTGGGGGGAAACCATCATAAATTTTTTCAGGATTCTTTGATGAATAGAAAGATGAACAGCATTTATTTTATATAGAAATGTTTTGAAATATGATATATTATATTGTCTTTATTTTCTTTTGATCAATTTAATGCACCCTTGCTGAATAAAAAAAAATTAATAATTTCTTAATAAAAAAATCTTACTGACTCGAAACTTTTGAATGGTTGTGTATATTGTCACATCATCCACATTCTCACAGCTACAAGCAGCTCCACAACACAAGCTCACATGTATCTTCAGACTACGGCATGCTTTGATTGTTCTGAGGCTCATTAATCTTGGACATGTGAAAGATCTGAGCATGCTGGTTTGAAAGCACTTGTTATAACTCCTCAGAGTTAAAGAAGATTAAACATCAAAGTGCCCCTGAGATCGATTCCAGTGCATCTTGTTATAGCCGATTCACAAGAGCCTATCAAATTTACACAATTGTTCAGTGTAACCCAGCTTGCTAAACCAATGGAGCATGCAAGAAGGGTCTGATAAATAACAAAAAAAACAGGAGAAAAAAAATAGGATTCTCAAGGTACCAAAGCTCACGAGAATCATTTGTTGACAAGTCAAGGAAGAACAATTTTTTTTAACATTCTGAGTGTTTTATATATACACATTTAAAATAGCAAAATGAATCTTTTAATTTCCATGTGATTAGTTTGGTCAGTGCTGGATGTTGAGAAAATAAACGGTAACACAGTCCACTTTAGACATTCTATTAACAGTAAGTAACTTTGCAACTATATGTCAACTAGCAGTTAGTAGAGTATTAGTAGACTGCACACAATTGTTCAGTGTAACCCAGCTTGCTAAACCAATGGAGCATGCAAGAAGGGTCTGATAAATAAGAAAAAAAACAGGAGAAAAAAAATAGGATTCTCAAGGTACCAAAGCTCACGAGAATCATTTGTTGACAAGTCAAGGAAGAACAATTTTTTTTAACATTCTGAGTGTTTTATATATACACATTTAAAATAGCAAAATGAATCTTTTAATTTCCATGTGATTAGTTTGGTCAGTGCTGGATGTTGAGAAAATAAACGGTAACACAGTCCACTTTAGACATTCTATTAACAGTAAGTAACTTTGCAACTATATGTCAACTAGCAGTTAGTAGAGTATTAGTAGACTGTCTGCTTAATATCTTCTAACACTTTCTTTGTCAACTTATTCTACTAACCCTAAACCTACCCTAACAGTCTAGTCTGAGAGTTAGTAGACATGTAGATGCAAATGAATGAGAATTAGTTGACATGTAGTTGACATGTAGTTACAAAGTTACTTATAGTTAGTAGAATGTCTAAAGTGGACTATCGAAATAAAGTGTAACCAAATAAACAATCAGCTACATGCTGCCATACAGAAAATGAGTTAAAGTAGCAGGCTGAGATGTAACAACATGACATGAGATGTAATTTTGTATACCTTTTTCTCACCATGTCAAACTATGTTTTGACAGGGCATTTCGCTTTGGAGGCTTGTAAAAGTAACAAATAAATAAATTAGTCATTAAATCAGATTTGACGCTTTTTAAGATAAAACTTTACAAAAGACCCTATGTATTAAACATAGAGATAGAGCAGAAGATATAACGGACATAACATGTTGATAAATCTTAAATATGATTCCAACTAGGTGTTCTGTAAAGGCACTATGAAATGACTACAATAGTATATCTGACCATAAGAATATTAAGCACCATAAGGCTAAACACATATTAATTGATGACTAATGCACTATTCCATCCTACATGCACATGCGTATTCCAATATTGATCTGAATTTGGTCACATTTTGATTGTGTGATAACATAAATGTTTAACCCAAATGCCTTGATTAAATTAAGCCAATATTACAGTTTCTAGAAATTTGGGCCATGAACACATATTTGGATATACACTCTAATGGAATATTTGTTTATATGGGTGCATATATGTTTTGAAAAGTCCAGTTTTCAAAGAAAGATTTTGTAAAGAACCAATATTCAATGATAATTAATTACATTTGTTAATTAATTCAAGATCTTTTTAAATTTAATTTAATTAAGATCAACATGATTTGAATATATACAGAATATGTAATAAGTAGCAAGAGGGAGCTGCAAGAGTATTTCCAGAAAAGCATGAAATGCAGGGAAGACAGGAAAATAAATGTTTATTAAGAATATGAAGATTCCCATTTAGAAACGTGGAGCATGTAAAATTGTTTTCATAATTAAGGACAAGAATATAGGTTTTTATCGGAAAATGATGTGCATGTAATCATGGTTAAGATCAAGCACGACCTACGAATTATGAAAATACCAAAGCAAGAATTCTAAAAGGGTTCTAAAAGCAGAAATCTCAGGCCTTTCACTTACACTGTAGCCCATTTGTATCTGTTCAGAATCTGTGCTCCGATTTAATCCATATGGGGGCTGAATTCATTACAGAAATAGCACATAGATACATATGCTGCAAATGAATACACCAGTGCACAAAATAGCAAAATACGTTTTTTTTGTCAGATCTGTGCATTTGTTTAAAAAAAAGTTGTTGACTAAATGGCAAGATTTTGAATTTTTAGTGCAACTTACTGTTGTCATCCGTGACGTCTGATTGGAGAGAGCACATGGACCGCAGACCTCTATTATCATGAGACAAAGAAATACTGTCGTCTTCAACTGCTAAACAGGAAGTCAAGTCTAGGAATATTTCTGGAAGAATAAATACAAAAAAGGAACCATAAACAGCAATTCTGCAAAGGTGTTAACTAGGGTTACGTTAAAATGACAACAATGTACTAAAAACGGAAAAGCATCTTTGCATTTTTTAAACGTTTCACACACAAACAGCAACATTGTCAAAATGACCCCAGTTTACACAGATCTGTGAAAACGACCAAAAACACGGTATTACGCATGCCAGACCAGTAGTTGGCGATGTCACATTGTAAAGAAACACTATGCACCTGTGTATATACCTATAGACTGAACACGTAACACACATTCAACTGACATCACCGTTTTCACAAATTTGCATTTTTACACTGAGTTTACACCTAGAAGATAATAGTTTTGTTTTTAAAAACTTGCACTTTAAAAATGCACTCAGTAACTACTTTTACACATTTAAAAAAACAATACTCTTAATAAATAATAAATAAATGGAGCCCACATGTGGAGATCACATGACCAGCTGAACAGTACTTGCTTTTTTTTTTTTACTGAGGGCACCTTTAAAGGCCTCCGCCTGAAGGTTCAGATTGCACTAACCATCATACTCCTCATCCCAGTCCATTTGCTGTATGGAATTATTTTCCAAATGTGAATGGGATGCTTTGCGATGTGGTAGGTTAGGGGCTACACTGCACACAGCCACAGTCTTCCTAAGACCAAAGAGTGGATCTGGCGTGAAGCTGCTGAACTCAGACACGGAGCCTCGGTTGTTTCGACATTCTCCAGGAATGCTGGGCGTGTAGGAGATGGGTCGCACTGGGACCTGCGGCGGGGTGTCCGGGCGCGATTCTTTTCGGGCTTGGTTGTATACGCTGGACCTCTGAATGTAAGAATCAACATCTTTGTACTTATCAAGCACTTTATCGCTCTTGCCAGGTTTGCAGGTTCCTTTCCACACTATTAAGAAAAACATTGTCCAAACAAAGATGGCCGTCAAGAAGGCCAGCATTGCAACCAGTTCTCCAATCCAAGAGTTCCAGGATGAAGATACAAGTTGGTTTCTGACTTCTGTGTCCATCTCACACAGTCTCCCGCTGAATCCCACCAAGCAGGAACAGTTAAAGGACCCGTATGTGTTGACACAACGGCCGTCATTGAAGCAAGGCCTGTCCACACACTCGTCGACATCGATCATGCACCTGAAAAACAAAAATACTCTGTCAAACATACTTGGGGAAAAAAAGTACTATGATATGTTCATAAGGATGACAAAAACAAAAGACCTTTCTCCTTTGAATCCCGGCTCACACTCACAGATGGGTCCATCAAGACCGTCTATACACTGTCCACCATTCTGGCATGGATTCTCCTTGCAGTATGGACCTATCTGACACCTGCAATCATACAAAGAGTTTTGGGCATACAGTAATTCTGTCCCATTGACAGATTTTATAATCAAAAATTCATTCAGTTGTGCAGTACTTGTATAGTACCTTTGACCTGAGTACCGGCCCCTGCATTTACAGTAGTAGTCCAGGTTATTCTGGATGCAGGTTCCTCCATAAAGGCAGGGGTTGGAGTCACAAAGACCGATCTTGACCTCACAGTGAGTCCCAGAGAATAAAGTGCTGCATTTACAGACATAACCTGTGGGAATATCACTATATCAGTGACCCAGCAATGCAATAAACCAGTTTATACATATAATGTAGGGGTTAAATAAAGATGTTTTGTGCAGTGGGGTCTAAAACCATTAGCAAAATGCTTGTTTATCTAATATTACATCTCTAATAGCTAATTTGTACAAAAAAATGGTGTACAATTATCTCTCTTTTAAGTTTCATGGAAGCCAATTTCTTCCTCAGATAAATAAAATGTAATTCTGAGATAAAGTTGTGACAATTAAAGTCACAATTGCAACTTTATTTTTTAAAATGGCAACTATACTACATGCTTGCCTAGGCTGTATTTATTTAATTAAAAATACTATAAAAACAGTATTGTGAAATATTATTACAATATAATATAACTTTTTTATTTTTATATATTTTAAAATGTAATTTATTCCTTTCATGTTAAAGGTGAATTTCGGCATCATTACTCCAGTCTTCAGTGTCACATGATCTTTCAGAAATCATTCTAATATGCTGATTTGCTTTAAAATGTCTCAGGTTACTTATGTAACCATGGTTCCCTGAGTAGGGAACGAGACACTGCGTCCTCTAGGGGTCGCTATGGG